GCAAAATAACATAAGTGGTTTTGGCTATTGGCACACATGTGAGGGCACTACTTGTAGGGGTAGCATCGATTTAGCCCTAAAATACATGGTTCTGGTGGAAGGTGTTGTGACATTTGTTGAGAATTAGAGTTGGTATATAAATTGAGTCTCAGAACTTATTATATCCACATCCATAGTTTTTCTTGTTTGGTATTGGTAACAAACATAATTCTATGAAGTTAGCGAATGGCTCCCTTATGGATTTCATGAATTAATGATTGACACTATTTAAAGTGTACTTATTATAAAATACATGTCAATATATTATATGTAAATAGTTGTAAATGACTCCATAAACCATACCATCCTATAGATGCATTGTAAAACTGCAAACAAAGTTCTATGAATTCTTCCATGAATTGATCTATTAGCATATGTTTTAAGTATATTTATTTTAGAGTATGTGTCATTACATCATTTATGAATAATTTTAAATGCATAGGTAAGCCGTGTCATCTCTTCATAACAAAATTATGAACATAAATTTTATATAACCACCATATGACCCTCTTATAGTCATTCACAATTGTCGTATTAATATTTATTAGTACAACACCCGTGTATGACACGGGTGCTTGTTAAAAAATTATTCTTAAATTTTTAAATTAATGAAAAAAATTATTTAAAATTTTATTTATTTTTTTACAAAAAATATATGTTGTTATATATTTTAGAATGACACTTGTTACTTGTGTCACTTACATGTGTTATACTATAGTAATTCTTACAATTTATATCTTATAACTACTTGAAATATAAATATATTAATTGATAAATAATTTTATTTTTCTAGTTAATATTAAAAAACAATTTTATTATTGTTATAAAGATAAATATAATTTATTTGTTTTTATACATACAATATGGATGTTAAATTGAAATTCATCAAGAGATCATTAATTTTATATATTATATATGTAAAACTGATAAAAAATACAAAAGTTATTAACTTTTAAAATACATTTACAATTCAATTGTTATAATAAGAAATAATATAAAATACAATTAATACATGTAACATGACCAAAAATAATCAACATATTTATGGATAATCCAAACCTAATTATTTTTGGATTGGAAGTAAATTAAAATCTACCCAAGCCTAATAACGGAGTATGTAATTTTGCCACATAAGATCCTGAAGCATGCGAGTCTGCCATTTAAGCTTAGTACATTGTGAATTAATATATAGGGGGATTATAGATGTATTTATTAGAAGATTAATTTTAAATATTGAAAACATTGTATAGTAATTATTATTTTTTTTATCTCAAAACTAAATTTTTACTATCAAATATTGTTATATACTCACGGAATAAAAATTGCAACAAAAATTAATAATAAAACTATTTTTTCAATATTTGTGACTAAATTTCCAACAAAACTAATCTTATAGGACTATATTTGCAATTTTTTCAATATTTGGGACTAATGATAAACGGTGATTTAACGGCCAGTTAAATTTCGTACCAATTACGCAACAAAAATTAGTTAAGGACTGAAATTGCGCATCTTGAGACTAAAATTGCGACTGTCCCAATCTAACGGGACCAAATTTGCACTTTCCTCAATAAAGTTTTATTAAACCAGCAACTCTTATAGAGTCATCCATGAATTGATATATTAACACAGTGTAAATATATTTATTTAAAACATGTTTTAACAAATATTTTATTAATAATACGAATGGCTCCATAAGCAATGTCAATCCACAGCAAAACTATTGGTGCATATGCTAATGATTCAAATTTAAGGCATATATTAAGTGCTACAAATTTTTGTTGGAACTGTAGACTATAGAGTAGAAGTTGGCTATTCGGGACATAAAAAGAGAAAAAAATAAAATAAAATTGCTATTTGGGTCAGCCCAGTTCGAGTAGAGAATCAAACACAAACAAGGACGACTCAACAAATAAAGGACAAGAATGAGCAAGCAGCCAAACAAACTAATGTATGTATGTTAGATGCCAGCTACAAATAAATAAAACAAACAAGCCTCATCTTCGTTAAAAGTTTGTAAAGTTAGTTTTGAGAGGAAAGAGCACAAGTATTTGATTGCTTGAAGCAAATTTTCACCACAAAAGAAGGAGAATTGCATGACAACTGAGGTCCAACATGCAAAATACGTGACCTCAAAATCAGGAGTCTCACTTCCCCCATCAATTTCAAACTGCACTCCCATTAACAAAGAAAAGCTGCACACAAACAGAAAAGCCAAGGATAACATACACACTTCCAACAATGGCAAACACCACCCTCCCCTCCCCTTACCTCCTCATACCCATAATCGCCTTTCTCTCACTCGTCTACTTCCTCTCCTCCAAATCCCGGCCCATCTACCTCATAGACTTCTCCTGCTACAAGCCTCCACCTCACCTCCGCGTCTCGACTGCCACATTCATCGAGCATTTCAACATATGCAGCCACGTCTCGAGGGACGGCATCGACTTCCTCACCAAAGTGATAGAGCGTTCGGGCATCGGCCCACAGACCTGCTTGCCCCTTGCAGTGCACCACATCCCACCATATAATTCCCTCCCCCACACAAGACTCGAAGTCCAAACAGTCCTTTTCGCCGTAGTCAAAGCCCTCATCGAAAAACACAAACTGAACCCAAAAGACATCGACATCCTAGTTTCAAACTGCAGCATCTTCTGCCCGACTCCCTCCATCACCTCCATGCTGATAAACGAGTTCGGATTTCGAGAGGACGTGAAAAGCGCAAGCCTCAGCGGCATGGGCTGCAGCGCGGGCCTCGTGGCAGTTGGGCTGGCCCGAGACCTCCTGAGGTCGGCCCGGAAGGACGCTTGGGCTCTCGTCCTCAGCATGGAGGCCGTGACCTCTAGCGGCTATCCAGGCAACGAAAAGTCGATGTTACTGGCGAATGTACTGTTCAGAATGGGAGGTGCAGCAGTTTTACTGTCCAACAGGAAAAAAGATCGGGCCCGGGCCAAGTACAGGCTAAAACACCTGATCAGAACCCATATGGGCTCGGACGACGAGTCCTACAGCTCGGTTTTTCAGAAAACGGACGATGCTGGGAATACCGGAGTCTCGCTGTCCAAATCCCTTCTGAGAGTTGCGGGAAATGCACTGAGAGCGAATGTAACAGAGCTGGGCCCGCGCTGCTTGCCGGTTTCTGAGCAGATAATCTACGCGTGGTTTGTCTTCAGAAGCAAAATTCGGAAATATTGTAATTATAATAATAAAGATGATGATGACGATGATAAGAGAAAGGTTTATGTACCGGATTTCAAGAAGGCCTTCGAGCATTTCTGCATACACGCGGGCGGGCGGGCGGTGATTGATGCAGTCGAGGGGCGGCTGAGGTTGAAGGAGGAGGATGTGGAGGCTTCGAGGATGACACTGTATAGATTTGGAAATACGTCTTCTTCTTCGGTTTGGTACGAGTTGAGTTATCTGGAGGCAAAGGGTAGGGTCAAAAGGGGGGATAGGGTGTGGCAAATTGCATTCGGGAGTGGGTTCAAGTGCAATAGTGCTGTTTGGGAGTGTGTCTCGAAGATCGAACCGGATTCGAGGAATGTGTGGTTGGATGAGATAGATTCGTATCCTGTTAGGATCCCAGATATTTCCTATCATTAGATACAGACCTGGTGCATGTTGGTTGCCTAGTTTTATTGAATGAGGGATTATAAGTTCGAGGATATCTTTAGCAGAAAGCAAATCAAATGGTAGATAATTATTTTATTTTATTTTATTTTTATCCAGGATCAGGAGAAAATTGTGTGTAAGACTTTCCATCAAGGCCATTGATAAGACCTAATGGTTATCTTTTAGGAGTATAGATAAAAAGGAGGATCAACTGCATAGTTTAAATGTTATTCAAAAATAGCCCACGGTGTCTTCACTCTTCAGCATCTTTTTGCAGGTCGTATACAAAATGTATTCTGTTCTGCCGTGCAAACAATTGATGTGAATGAATCTATCATTCAACTTTTATCATGGAACAAGAATTTGATGGCAGTTCCTATAACAGACTTACAACTGGAGCAACCGTATATTTCAGCAGGGATTCTTGCACGTTATCTTGGAAGGACGTCTAATAAATCCTGCAAAATCAAATTGCAGTACTCTTTACACACAGTTAAAAAGAACTCATAAACAACAGAGAGGAAAAAGTAAAGCTATGACTCGTTGGTGATCAATGGGATTTAAGCATGCTAAAGAACTCTAATTGCACGACAATTAAATTATTTTAACTAAAGACAGGGAACAAAATATTTCTAGTCATCAATGATGAATGAAAATAGAAGAATAAGGATGGGAGTAATACTGGGAAATTAAAACCATCCACTTAGTTTTTCATTTCTCAAACCCGAGTTTTTACAAAAGTAAAACATAATTGAATAAGATTTAAGTACTCAAATATGAGAGAGATAATTAGTTCCACAAATATTGCAAACTGTTGAGTCTTTAACCTAATTGTGCATGTGTATGCACAGGCCAGAATTGAATTAGGTGACGTGTTAATCTCATAGGTGATGGCTTTCATATATTGCCATGCTGTGTCTTCTAAGGTGGAAACTGGAAAGATTCATAGCCACTGAATATATATAACTGAAATACGGATTTAATAATGACTAAAAGTTTCTCCATCAATGTTTATATGTCAAGAAATCCAATCTACCATTATGGTCACTCTCGAAGCATGAGTATTGTGGTTAAAAGGAGAAAGAGGAATACACATACCTATCCAAAATTTCGTCCAATGTAGATAATTTACCCAATCAATACACTTCCCAATCCTAATAAATACCAGAGCTGTAGAACAGGGATCGTGCCAATACTTCAGGAACCTCATATATTGATCAATCAACATGTTCCAAACTGCAACTTGTATGAAAATAGTAACTCATGGACACTCAGCATGAATATAAACAAAATCAGAGATTGATGCCACCGATAAAATTCCAACCCAAAATCATAATTTAAGACGTTCTTTCAGACCACAAGGCATTGACCATTTGGTCCATTTTCAAGGGACTATGCATCACTTGAGATAGGGAACTCGGAGTATCTGACCTGACGGCTCAAATTCAGCTAGTTTTCCCTTTTGTGTGATCTATTTGCCTTCAAAACAGCATGATGCTTAGACAATAATTCCGCTAGAGAATGTCGTCCAAATAAATGGGAATTTTTCACTATCAGATCCCTCGTGGAGGAGTCAACAGGAAAGCCTTGACCAGGCATCCACTGTAATAAATGAAAGAGTAGTTCTTTCTTTTCTGGATGTTCTATGTAACGAGAAATAGCCAAGTGAAATATGCCCTGTAACACCACATAGATTGAAGCTACAGAATTTGAACATATATTAAAACAGCTGTTGTATGGTAAAGGTGGAAGTTGGAGACAAGTGTTGATTCAATTCCCAAATCCCAATCTAGAAAATTAACGTGGTTGAAGTATAATATCACAAAGCTCAAACATAATAAACAAAAATGTCATATAATCAAAACCCAAATATCCTGTATCTGAATCAAAACTCAAATATGGACCTGATGGCATATGAAGTAATATGTAGATTAAGTTACACGTAGTAAAGGCAGTCATACTGATAATAGTGTTCGGTTAAATGATTACCTGATCAATTTTGTAGCCTGATTTATGGATAGTCTTGATCACATCATTTACCAGGTTTATATTGCCTTTTTCCATAAAGGAGGTGGCAAACTTCCTAATAGCAGGCTGAGAGATAAATTTTGCATTGTCCTGGAGAATACAGATTGCTCACAAATACATAGAGCCCAACCAAAACCAACAAAATGGTAGAGGTAGTGGAAATAAAATTTATACCTTGACCACTACATAAGCATCTTTAAAAAGTCCACCTGCAAGTAAGATATGTAAAATCTTCTCATGAAGGGCTTTTCTTATTGTTCTCTTGCCATATCTCAACATAGTGTACACTGAAAATGCTTCTGAATGAGCACCATTTTTACCAAGACGATTAATCAATGAAGAAGACAAATCCTGCATGATTAAACCATATAAATATAGAACTACAGAAGTACGCCAAAAAAAAAAATGGACTAAAGGTACTATGAGGTATATATAGGAATTTGGACTTTGTTTAACATGTCACATTTAGACCATAAGATCAATTAGTACAAGACAAGTGTGAACCTTCATGCACAAATCTGGAATATTTTACATACCTCGTCAGGCTGGTGACCTTTCCTGTGCATGTCCTCCATAGTACGATATGCAAGTAAATACAGTTTCTCCTTGCAAAAATACTTTATTAACATGTGAAAGGTATTCCAATCAGGACTAATGGCTGACTCGTCCATTTTCTTCATCATCCTCATTACATTCTCCATTTCTCGAGACCGACAGTAAGCAGAGAGCATCGAGTTCAAAATGACCACATCATACTTGCCGTACTTAGTCTCAAACTCACAAGCCAATTGCTTTGCTTCTTCAAGGAGCCCATTACGGCAGAGGGCTGAAATCATAATACTGTAGGAGTAGCCATCTGCACATATTTTGAGCACAGAATGTGATAAGCATGACAAGAAAGTACTATAANGAAAAAAAAAAAAAAAAAGCCAAATAATTAATAAGTATATAACATTGGATTCTGTTCAAATGAATTAGGTGAAAATGAAATCTCTCCTGCAGGCACAGAGTTTTGTGCATTCTGAATACTCCTGGATGGTGTTCGTTAACAAAAGAATCAAACTATTGTGACAGGTTTTTATGTCTGCCCCCTACTGCTATCTCTAATCACACTGGGAAGTTATCAAACATCAGTCAAGATGAAATTATCTCATGTAACCTAAAGCATATAGACAAAAAGTTTTCACAGGCACTGATGACAAATAACACCACCTTGATACAGGATTAAATTTTACATTATGTAGCATGCGTGCGACGTATCTCCAGATGGATTCTAGCAAAAACAGTTGACGTTTAAACTACACATACCATTTTTCACTTCTCTCTGCCTCATTTCATCAAAAATTGATTTGGCTTCTGTGAGTTTCCCAGTCTTTCCAAGGCCATCCATCAGTAAACAGTACGGCATCTGCTGAGAACATAAGATGGTGATATAGCAAGTAGAGCTACAAACACTGTGTGAAAGGGCACAAATTATCCCATTTACTCGATGGGTACAAAAATTTGACCACCAAGATTCATGCACCAAGCACAAAGCCAGTTACAAGCAAAAGTTAAAGAAATTTTCATCAACTATTTTACATTTTTATACACTGATATAAGTTAGCGCATGAAATTTAAATCAAACTAAAAGGCAAATATAATGAAGTGGAATACTATAGCACAATGCATGTACGAATATATAAATTCAAAAATAATACATATATATATGTGTGTGTGCAGCATGTTCATTTACATTGACAATCACACACACACACACACACACACATACACACACACACACACACACACAGAGAGGATATAATATTATATATATAAAGATAATGAGAGGGACAGAAATGAGGCATCGATACAGTCATCAAACATATTACATATAAAGAACAAAACACACATTCACAATAAATGGTCACCTCATCTTGTGCATAGCCTAGAGCTTGAAGTTCATCCAACAGTTCTCTTGATTTCTCAAACAAGCCACTTTTAACATAAACCTTCAACAGGGTTGTTAAAATAACCTGTAATGAACGAGAATTATAACTTTATCCTATGAAAATGCCCATAAAATAAAATAATTGAGTCAATACATTCATGTTATGATCATCAGTGGAATCAGTTCCTTCCAATCATGAGAGTGAAATTATAACAATTATAATAATACATCACATGGATGGTAACTTTTTCTATCATTCTTAAAATGTTGGACAAGAACATAATTTTGAAGATTTAAGGAGAGAATTCTGCATAGTCATAATTAAGGAGAACTGCAATAGTGAAATATCAACACTCTAGTGGACTGAATAGACAGTATTTGCTATAGTTTTGCAACTCCAAAGACATACTTAACGATAGATTATAAAGATAGCTTCGAAATAGCAATACAATGTGTTTTACTTGTTTATATCCAACATTTTCCTTTAAGGTTTCGTACCAAAACCCCACGTCCAAACATTGAATAGAAGTATATAGAGACAATATACTAGATTAATTAAAAGAAGGAATGGATCACCTTGTTTAAAGTTAAGCCTGCAGATCTCATATCTTGAATCAACTCATCAGCCTTTCTATAGTTCCCATCAGCTGCATATGAATTTAGCAAGGAGCTGTAGTGGAAGACATTTGGAGAATGACCTTCACTCTTCATCTGATTGAAGTATTTCTCTGCTGCTTCACATTGATTGTTTGAAGCGCAAACAGATATAAGTGTTCCATATACTACAACATCCATGTGCAACCCCCTAGACTTCATTTCGCGAACCAATTCCATTGCCTTAGAATAACCACCTTTCACTTTGGTGCACCCCGCAAGTAGCTAAGATTGCATAAAATCCACAATTCTTTGAGACCATATGAAAACAAGTCTATATATAATGTGTGTGTCTGTATGAGCACGCAACTAGGAATACCTTTATTTACCACAAAAGATTAACCTATAAATGGAGCCACTTCTAATGAGCAGAGACCAGGAATTCCAATCCATTGACGTGTCAGTGCAATTTTTGTATATGTTGTAGAGCCAGTTTATAAGGCCATTTTTTTTTTAAAAAAAAAAAAAGGAATATCTTTATCATATCCATTGCTGTAGTCACATACACACAATTCCTAATGCCAATACCATTTTCACATTTTATTTTAGGGGAAAAAATATTATATCCCCCAAAGTACTCGATTTTTACCCTTTGCCTCTAAAGTTTTAAAGTTGAAGCATTTGACAATGTCTCCTCAAGTTTCAAACCCTAAAGTGAAACAAAACGTTTCAAATTCAATTAACGATGAATTTTGAGTCGAACATCAACATTGATTCAGGGCTTTTGGAGTCCACAATAAGCCGAACAAAATGAACAATGACTTATTGATTTTGAATAAGTGACCCGTAGGTAATCAATCAACAAAGAAGGTTTGGTGAATAGAAGATGATCAAGATATTCGACTTTCGATTGTAAACTTGCACGATGAACTTTCTAATGAAATCATATTAAAAAATTATTCAAATTCTAAACTCTAAAGGGTAGTCCAACAAATTGACAAACATTTAGCTTTTTTTAACTACTAACCAAATGGCACCATTCGATTTTCACAAGACCTACCTTATTAGGACTTGGTAGCTTTTGAATGAAATTTCAATCGAAAATCTTGATCATCGAAAAATCAAATCATACCTCATTTCTTTAGTCTTATTATGGGTTTCACAAGCCCTAAACCAATTTGAAATTCGACTCAAAAATTTCATCATTAATTGAGTTAGAAACTTTTTGTTTCCTTTTAGGGTTTGACAGTGAGGAGGCAATTTGTCGATTCGTATATTTTAGGATGGAATTTATCAACTTTAAAATTTTAAGAGACAAACTATAAAAGTCGAACACTTTGGTGGTACAAAAAAATCCCTTTATTTAATTTCCTTTAATCACAAAGTGTACTCCTTGGGGGGTAAAGTTAGAAACAAAACACAATTATCAATGAAGGTAAGGACATAAGCCAATGTATGATGAGATGTTTGAAGATATGAGAGTATTAAATTTCAAGCTTTGACAATAAAATATCAATCAATCAACAAGCCGTTAAAATCCCACTAAGTGGGGCCGGCTATATGGATCACATGTAACCATCGTGCTCGATCAAAACACATATTCTCATTCAAATTTAAATACTTTAAATCATTTTTTATTGTTTCCTTCCAAGTTTTCTTAGGTCTACCCCTCCCCCTTTTAAATTTGCGTTCTTAATTCTAATGTTTCTACCCTTCTCACCAAAGCCTCGAAGTTTCTCCTACGAACATGCCCAAACTATCTTAATCGTCATTTTCTCATTTTCTCCTCCATGGGCGCTACTCCAACTTTATTTCTAATACTTTCATTTCTAATAATTTGAATAAAAAATATGCTAATGCAATTGCATGCACTAATGGCTTGAGATGCATAATGGATTTAGTAGGTTATTAACCAAGTACAAGGTTCACATATTCCTACTCTTATGTTACTTGGTTCGAACACCAAGTCTCTATTGTTGTATTCATATTGGACTTAATAAAATTGCACTTACCAATTTCTTTAGCAAACATTTCGTTGAATCCTACTTTACATTCTCATAATCTATTTTTTTATAGTTAAACGGAGCAGAGGGGATAGCAAGAACCGAATAAACCATAAGGTATACGGTTGAAATCTGGTGAATGTTCTATCGTAGGTAAGAGATACCACTTGAGCAACATGCTCATGGTTCTTATAATCTAAAATTATTTACACATGTTGTCTTTACTCCTTTTGCTTTCATTTGACTGTTATTACTATTATGAATTATATCATACCATATAAACACGTTAGAAGAGCTTTGATATTTGAACCTTCCGCACTCTTTCTCCAAAGAATAAGAAAAATAAAATTAAGGTTCCGATAGCCAGTTTTCTATAAACTTAATTCAGAAATCAGATTAACTACCTATCGAATATCAAGCATCATGTTTTTCCATGAATTTTTATCTAGAAACAAATATTTATGTGTTGTAGGATGTGTATGAGTGTGTGTGTCTGCATATCAAATGCAACTACATCCATGTGAGAAAAAGTAGAACAAATAATGCACGTGAAAATTCAGTGTGCGTGGTTTGCAACATGCCCTGTAGAGAATTAGAATAGCATACCGTACTGTAAGTTACAATATCAGGTACCAACCCAGCTTGCTTCATTTGAGTAAATAGCTTAAGGCTGCCATCAAACTTGCCACTCTTTATTAGACAATGTAGAGTAGAATTACAGACAGAGACATTGGTCTTTACGGAATCATCTTTGATGCTATTGTATATTTCCATGGCTTTCGAAGAATTAGACTCCAATCCAATGAACTTAATGTAACTGCTATAAGATGCAAAATTAATTTTGTCTTGCTGCCGCATCCAATCAAAGAGCTGCAAAGATATCAGACGACGTATTACAATGGAAGGTTGATGATTTTATCTATTAATGTCCTTACTTCACTCAGGAGAGTGAGAATGAGAGGGAGCCGCGGGGGGGAGAGGAGGAAGAGACGAAGATTAAATGTGGGATTGCAAGAAAAAACAGTGTCTTCTGGAAAGAGGACAAAAAAATTGCCCCAGTATGATTTTTCTTTGTTACCAAATTAATAGACTCGTTTCAGGCAATGATTAAATAAGAAAATAGAATTTCTGAGGTGAGCCATTCAAAAAGGTTTATCAAGACAACAATGATTCCAACTAAAAATATTTTGATAAGGATACTCGACAGATATCAATAAACAAACACTAAAAGACGCTTACATGTACTATTATCCAGCCACATCTACAGAAATACTATGCATAGGAACTATTCCAGGGATTACACATTCACATCATCAAATCAAACATGTCATCAACCACATTGTCAAAACTGAAAAAATTGCAAGGTTAAATAAATTAGTTGTTCTGAAACCTGAGAAAGATCATTCCATCTGTTTAGCTTTCCGAAATGACGCAACACCACGTTCAGTTCTGACGCTCTCAAAAGTTCACCTGATCTGTAAGCAGAATGAGGTAAGCTATCCAGTACTTCTGTGCAGAGGCAAAATTCCAAGCATGGCACCCGAGAGTTTCTTTCTTTCACAATTGCATATCCCAAAAAAATGAGAAAAACCAAGGAGGAGCAAAGTCCACATTCCAAGAAATTACTCAACCTAGTAAACCATATGAATAGAAGGTTCTATGCAATAGCAGTTACTCACAGCCACACGTAGTATGACACAACTAGCTGTTCGAGGCACAGATAATCAAGAAATAACAAAGAATGTCGAATGATATTGATGCGGGGAAAACATCAATCAAGTACAAATCAATATACAAACTGTATCTTAAATATTCAACATGGCAAAGAGACAGTGTGCAAAATGTAGAAAAAGTGGCTCTCATCTTCTAGGTTGTCATAGCATCAGTGAAGAATCTATTTCATAGAGCGAGAAATAAGGAACTATCTAATTTTTTTCCCCACGACAATTGTTTTTTACTAAATGCTATTGGCAGCCCGAGTGCTCACTCCATCAATACCAAAAAGTAAAAATCCCTACTCAAATCCAGTTAAGATTTTAGCTACAGGACACTTAACTATTCATAATCCATGCTAGCCACATCAATGATAAGAACAAGCACTTGATACCGGTAAAACAGACACAAAAATCCGGGATAGGAATAGATAAAAACTGGTGGGACTCGAGAATTAACCTAGAAAGAGCAGATGCCAGGTCAGAAGAATTCTGAATATCAACAATGGCGGATTCACGCTCTTCCTTCGAGGCCGATAAACCCTTCGAAGTTCGCCTGGAAACGTTCGCGGGCTTGATTAAAGCTTCGCCGCATTTCTGAGCAATGTTGGAAGAGATTGGAGCTGAGACTCTTTGCGGCGGCGGCGCGAACTTGGTTGCAGTGGTGGGCTTTGAATTCTTTATGGGTCGGGTTGCGCGGGAACAACAAACGGGTTGAAATGAGTTTGCTAGCACCGGTGAGACAGCCATGGGGATAGGAAAATGAAAACCAGATGAGTAATTTGCCAGAGTAGCTCACATTTGTCAACAATGAAATACTTGAATTGTGAATGTGTTTGTGCGTCAGGACAGCAGAAACTGTGAATTTGGGTCATATTGGGCCTGCGAACTTCGGCATTGGGCCAAATCAATGGGAAGGAGATGGTAAATGAGAGATTTATTTCTGTTAACTAGTACGAATCTCGTGCGATGTACGGGTAAAAATTATTCATTAATATTCATAAATTATAAAAGATCATTAAATAATATTTACAATTAGAAATATGAAATCAATATATAATACAATTTACCTATATTAATTTGTTGAACATGTTATATGAAATTTAAATTGTGCAATATTATATAAAACATGTCTATTTAAATTAGCACACGACCCGTACGGTACAAATAACTTTTAATAAGTTACATTATATTCATTTCAAAATAGGTGTCATTTTAAAAAAATATATTCAGAAATTCGATTTGACTACAATGTGATTTAAGTAAAAAACAAACCTTCACACACACACACACACATACACACACACCAAATAATTTGATATGTTCCACGCACATTTACAAAGAAAAATCGACTATAGTATTATCCAGATTTTTTTTTTATTAATTCGAGTAAAATGCTTAGCAATATGAAAAAAAAAAAGATATTGAGATACCATTTATTACCATAAGCGGATATATTGGATCAATATATAATATACCAGATAATTCGATTTCATACTTTATTGATAAAATACAAAAAATGATATTCAGATTAACCACAAAATTAATTGCACAACGTACAACACATTTATTATAGATAAAATAAAAAAATACCCAAAAATAGTTATTAAAAAATAATTAAATAGAAGCTACCAATAACACAATTATATTAAAATAGTTTTATAAGAAATTATAATGAAATAAATCAACCGAATTTACATGATCTGCGTAATTAGGGTATCTTAAAAATGTAATTTTTTACGGTTTGAGCAATTAAATACACAAAAAATGAATAACATTTATTAAATAATATTTAAATAAAAGTTGTCATTAACACAATTTTTTTGGAACAGTTTTTTACAAATTGCATAATTAATTACTGTCGTCGATATTTCTATAATTATAGTAATTATTTACAGATTGAATAAACTAGTCGGATTTACACAATTTGCGTAATTAAGGTATATTAAAAATGTATTTTACAAAAGAATTACACGAAAAATATAAAACACTTATCAAATAATAAATTATACAATTTAGTTGGAAATTCTTTACCAAATCACATAATTGATATTGCAGCCGAAATTTCCATATTTAGGTAAATCAGCCAATTCACATAATTTGAGTAATTAAGGTATCTTAAAAATGAATTTACGATAAGTGATTATTTGAAATATACCATAAATTGTTAAATTAATTTGAGTAATTAAGGTATCTTAAAAATATGTTTCTATATGACTTAATTATTTTCTTAAATAATGAGCCGCAATTTCCATAAATGATTATTTAAAATATACCATAAATTGCTAAATTAATTTCTCAAAATAGTAAATACATTTTTTTAGGGAAATAGTTACTATTTAAAAAATAATAAAACTGTTTTATATTAATATATAGATTTGCTAAATAATATTAATAATACGAATGGATAAACTTTTTTATCATAATTATGAAATATTTAATTAATTAAGATAATGGTTTTATTTTACATCAGAGCAATTGATGGCCTTACGGCTGGAATTTCGCCAGAAATTTTAGGAGGTAAATGAGGACGAGAAGAGCTTCAAGATTATATAAAAAAAAAATTTCAATCGGAGGTGATCGACCGGCGAACGGCGACAGTGGGCGGCAGACGACGATGGTGGGCAGCGAAGGCGGATGGATGAAGGTGAGTTGAAATAGGAGTTGAGATTGTATCGGCTCATATTTGAAAATGTAATTAGTTCTATGGATTATTTTGAATTTTCAAAAGTTTTAGTTAATTGCAACTAAGGCTTGGAGCTGATGTGGATCATTTGATTTCGAAGTCAACATTTTCTAATCCCGCCACATAAATAACAACCTCGTCATGTCAGATTTAAAAATGTCAATTCATAATTTTATCCAGAGTGCGGATAAAAAGGCACGGAAATGGATTAAATTGTTAAATTATTGGATCCAGTTTGAAAGTGGTCGATGATAGGGTGAAAAATTGGATTTTGACCAAATTAATAAACAATTTAAAATTTTGGCCTACATTACATACATCTTCCGAATATTGAGTTGAGCATCGGAGATACTACGCCGGGACAACCCCGCCAGGGGAGGAAATATAATGAGGGAGGGCCTAATTATTTAATAAAAAAATATAAAATCTTATACGAAAAGTGGAAATACAAAAATATACCTACATAGTCATTCTTTACGAGTTTTCATGGCATGATATCGCTATACAATAACATTATTATCAATTTTCAAGAAGGTTTCCTCTTATACATAAACTAGTAGTTTACCATTTAACCAATCACCACTCATTCGATTACTCATCTATCCTTAATAATATTCATTGCGGAAAATACTCGTTCCACGCTAGCTGTTGCAACCGGTAAGACCAATACCAAAGTTAAAAGCTTGTAAACCAAAGGAAACACTTTGTGCTTCTTTGTCTACACCAGCTTCTCTGCAAGTCCACCGAGTCCTTTCAACTCTTTAAATAAATTGTTGAAGCTCATATCAATATAGTTCTTGATCCTCAAGAATGAGAAGTCTTGAGGATGAAACCCAACCATCTTGACTAATTTCCTTTGTCGAAAGCAAAAAAAGAATCTCGTGAAGATAAACAAACTATGAAAAGCAGCAACTCCGTACTAACCTGGGAGAAACAGTCATGTAACTCTTGTAGTTACAAATCAATCATGACACAGAATAAATCAACTAGATAATGATGCAAATTCATTTTTTTGGTGCATTACGAACTGGACTACCGCAAAGGTCAAAGCAAGTAAACATGCTATTTGACTATTACCAATGTAAATAAGATATAAATACTTATCATCATCACAATTCACATCTATCGAGCTTACATTAAGCGAAAACAGAGAAAAGCTTGCATATTCGTGACACAAGATAAAGCGTATCTAGAATCTATAGCATTCTTCTAAAATTGTATGCGTGCTTGAATACAATTTTAATCATGAGCCTGGCAATTGTGTAAATTCAATAATAAAAGATATATGTATAAGAACACATACTGAGATGAAACCAACAAACTAATCTTGATTAGCCCTTTAATAAATTTATTAATTCAGTTAGCCAACTAATTAAGTATTGAGCATTAAAATAAGAACAGGCACAACAAATTAGAGTACATCAATATCACATCCTTACTCTTGTATTACTTTGTTGCTGTTGCAGGTGATAATCGAAAATTGACAAAGACTTCATCATTTTTCCCTCTCTTCCCTTCATTTTTCCTTCACTATGTAGTATGTATTCGTTCGTGTGTGTCTCTTTTCGTACTCTTTTCATTTGTTTAATGATTATGTTAAATGCCTTTTAGTTTGTTATATTAAGTTTATTAATTGGGATCATATGGACTAGTAATAGTAATNCCCTGAACCCCGCTGTTGGTTTACAGGTCATTTCACCGATTTAAAGATGGCTCAAATGAAGTCGGATCGGGTTGAGATTATTTACACACCATGCACTCATTGTATTAGTGTATTAGGGGTTATAAACTCAACCAATTAAAATCAATCAAAACTCAAATTTAACTAACTTTAACTCAATCATACTATCTTCAATATTATCAATATAAATAATTATATCAACCAGTCATTTTTACACATCACATCAACTTTAATTCTCTGTTCATTTACTCACATAATCTATATATATATATATATATAATAAGAATTAACATTTATCAAAAAATAGTAGGTCAATTTATGGTCAAACGCATGTCTGCATTAATTCTTTTCCGTAGATGGCAGGTTTTAATTCCTTTTCACACTGCATTAATAACACATTAATTACACTGTTATCCCTTTTCACACACTCCTTTTCACACCTCCTTTTCACACACAACATTGTACAACCACAAAAAAGGGCCTTATCCCGTTAATGCAGTTTGAAATTTTAAAAAGTCCTTTTTTTTAATATTTTTTGAAATAAATTAAGAATCCTATAGCATTAAATATTTGGAATTGCCACGGATACCACATAATTACCACGGAATCCTATAGCATTAAACATTTTGAATCCACAAATTAATATTTGGATGTTATTTTATAACACGGATACCACGGAATTGCCATTTGAAACCTGCACAAAATAAGAATAGTATATCATCTATACTTATATAATAAGAATTAACATTTATCAAAATTAGTAACTTAATTAATGGTCAAAGTCATTTATTACTTTCCAAAATCGGTAACTCTTATGTCCATTTCACACGCTCAGCATTTATGTCCTTTTCACATGTCTTTTAAACTCATTAATTATACCGATTTAATTATCGTAAAATAACCCCAATTCACACGCCTAGGGCATGTTATCCCATAATAATCCCATTTCACACGAGCATCCTTATCACATAACCCTTTTAAACATATTTTTTTACCCATAAATTGAAGAAAATAAAATCGTATTATAAAGAGAACATATATGGTATAATTTTAAGATTCAAAAACAAAATCTTATTATAAGGAGAAGATATTTCATACACCTTATCATTATTCAAAACTGATATTAAGTTTGTTATTCATTTCCTAAAACAAATACACGTGTTGAATTATTATCTCTACAAAACTATACAGAACATACGCTATACAGAACATACGCATATATATATGTACATATACACATATTAAATTTAAATATAGACATATTTTCTTTACAAAATAGTCTAGAAAAATCTTTTTTACACTATGTTAAATTCAAATGTTCTTAGATATGTTTTCCTTCTAAAATTGTTTAGAAAAGTTGTAGATGACTTCACATTTTTCAAAAATAATATAGAAAATTTTGAATACTTTTACATATATACTAATATAATACTTTAGGTGTTTTAATATTAAACATGCAAATTTTATATTCTCTTATACAAAATAATGTAAA